GATGATGATGATGATGATGATGATGTTGATGCTGATGCTGCTGACAATGATGATGTTGAGGATGCTGCTGATGCTGCTGATGGTGCTGCTGATGATGATGGTGCTGAGGATGATGCTGCTGATGCTGAGGCTGATGCTGATGCTGCTGATGCTGCTGCTGATGATGATGCTGGCGATGTTGATGACGAGACGGGGGATTGGGGGTGACAAGGAGAAGGATGATGAGGAGGAGGATGATGAGGATACTGACTATGATGATGCTGCGGATGATGATGATGATGATGCTGCTGATGCTGATGATGATGATGATGATGATGATGATGATGATGATGATGATGATGACGATGACGCTGATGCGTCTGCTGCTGATGATGCGGATGCTGATGATGCTGATGATGATGACGACGATGGCGCTGCAGATGACGAGACGGGGGGGGGGGATGACACGGAGAATGAGGACGAGGAGGAGAAGCTAGAGGCTGTGGAGGAGGAAGAGGGGACGGAAGATACTGACTATGACGATGCTGCTGATGTTGCTGATGATGATGCTGATGATGATGATGATGCTGATGATGATGATGATGATGATGATGATGATGGCGAAGCTGATGATGCTGATAACGATGCTGATGATGCTGATGATGCTGATGCTGATGATGACGGCGACGATGATGCTGGTGATGATGATCCTGCTGATGCTGATGATGCTGATGATGCTGATGATGCTGATGAGGTTGATGATGATACTGATGATGACGATGATCGGGTGAGGATGAGGATGATGAGGGGGGAGGAGGCGGGAGGCGTGGGAGGGCGCGGAGGGAGAAGGATGGATAGGGTGAATTGGAGGAGGAGGAGTCGACGACGACGGTGGTGGCGGTGTGCACGTGGTAGTAGTTGTGGCGAAGATGCTGATGATGATGCTGATGATGATGATGATGATGATGCTAATGATGATGATGATGATGATGATGATGATGATGATGATGATGATGATGCTGCTGAGGCTGATGCTGCTGCTAATGATGTCGACCCCGACGACGACGATGATGACACTGATGCTGATGCTGCTGATGAAGATGCTGCTGATGAGGATGATGATGATGCTGCCGCTGCTGCTGCTGCTGATGATGATGATGATCATGATCGCGATGATGATGATGATGATGATGATGATGATGATGATGATGATGATGATGATGATGATGATGATGATGATGATGCTGATGATGATGATGCTGATGATGATGATGATGATGCTGATGATGATGATGATGATGATGATGCGGATGCTGATGATGCTGATGATGTTGACGATGATGATGACGATGATGATGATGACGCTGTGGATGATTATTATGATGATGTTGATGATGGTGAGACTGGTCGTGCTGATGATGCTGATGCTGATGACTCTGATGATGACGCTGATTATGACGATGGTGACGATGATGATGATGCTGATGCTGCTGATGATGATGATGATGATGATGATGATGATGATGATTTTTCTGCTGATGATGATGCTGATGCTGCTGATGATGCTGCGGATGATGATTCTGCTGCTGCAGCTGATGCTGATGACTATGAGGAAGAAGAGAAGGAGGAGGAGAAGGAGGAGGAGGAGGAGGAGAAGCAGGAGGAGGAGGAGGAGGTGGAGGAGGAGGAGGAGGAGGAGGAGGAGGGGGAGGAGGAGGAGGAGGAGAGGGAGGAGGAGGAGGAAGAGTAGGAGGAGAAGGAGGCGGAGGAGGAGCGATCTGGCCTCCCGCGTCCTGGACCACCTGCTGTTTGTCGGCCCCCAGGAGGCCAACGCTCGGGATGAGGATGCTCAGGCTCCAGGGGCCTTACCACCTGGCGAATTAGTGGCAGCAAAGCGGGCCCGACAAGATGAGAGGATCGCCGCTCTTTTGAATGCCCGCGAAGCCACCGCCCACCAGGTTTCAGCCCGCGTGAATGGAGTCTCTTTCTGCCAGCGGTGCCTCACGGCACCCACCAGGGCGCTTCCGTTGAATTCATGGTTGATGTCTCCCTGTGCGGGTTTACCCCACCAGATCCACGGGTCCCACAGTATTCGGTGCCTGCGCGGGCTCTGGTGGTGCGAGGTGTGTGTGTATATGTGTGTGTGTGTGTGGCTGTTCGGGGCACCTGCGATTTAATAATCTGGGGAAGGCTTGTCAGCGTCCGACGGACGCTGGCAAAAGGGCGATCGCCAAGTTATCTAAGGGGCTCCTCCCTCCAAACAGGAAGCACTGGCCAGATGAGCCAGGTGAAGGAGCCCAACGACCAGGCGAATCCTAATCTTTCTCCCAGGGACCCTCATCGCAATGAACCAGGCTCTGGCCTAGCGCAAGCTGTTCCCGGGAGGAGGAGAAGGTGCAGGAGGAGGACGAGGAAGAGGAGGATGAGGATGAGTAGGATGCGGAGGAGGACTAGAAGGTAGAGAGGGATGGCGAGGGGGAGGGCGAGGGGGAGTAGGGGGGGTGTCGGTGATTGTGATAATGGTGCTGCTGCTGAGCTGATTACAATGCGGTTGAAGATGATGCTGACGAGGGGTGCGAATAATGAGCAGGAAGCGGGATAGGGGAAGGAGACGATGGCTGCGTAGACGGGAAGAGCTCTGATGATTACGGTGGTGATTGGGATGTTGCTTTCAAGAGGTGCG